TTAGTCTATTTCATAAGCAGACACAGCGGCCCTGACATTTTTTACTTACTACCAATGCAGCCAGGATCTATGGCCACATCAGAATCTCTTTTCTTAAGGTCAGCCTCGCCTATGCTTACGAAACGAAGGATGCCCTTTGCCTTGTCCTCACATTGATGAACGGAGGTATTCATGTAACATTTTTTTCTTGTCCTGGCTTGCAATTTTCATTTCCAAGGACATCATTTCTTGCAAAATGTATTTAGGTGATCTTAAGTTTCATTTGTATAATTTGATGCCCGGTGGTTTCGATGAAAAGCGGGTACAATTCTATGCTGCTGAGATCACTCTTGGTCTTCAACATTTGCATAAGGAACGGATATTATATCGCGATCTCAAACCTGAAAATATACTGTTAGATGATTATGGTGAGCTTTTTATCACTTTAGATGTCCCACTCCTAATATATGCTATCTGTGCCAGTTAGTTGCTCCACACATATTGCTCTTTTGCGCCTTTTACGGCATTGTTTTTAGGTCATGTTCGGATCTCTGATCTCGGTTTAGCTGTTGAGTTGAAGGATAATGAACCTATAAAAGGCAGAGTAGGGACAGTAGGTTATATGGGTAAGGTTTTCAAAATTTTGCGTACTTACTCTCTCTAAGTGCAATTTCAGCTCCTGAGATTGTAAAAAATGAACGATACTCGTATGGTGTGGATTGGTGGGGACTTGGTTGCCTCATTTATGAGATGATCGAAGGGAAAGTATGTGGATTGTAATCTGCAAATCCATTTTTTTTAATGTGCACTCCGCAGGCGCCATTTCGGCAGCGTAAGGAGAAAGTAAAACGAGAAGAAGTAGAAAGACGGGTACGAGAGGATCAGGAAAAATATTCTGATAAATTCAGCGAAGCTGCACGTACTCTTTGCAGGTAAAGCTTATTTGAGTTTTATTTTTACTTTTCTTTATACTTACCCTTTTTCATGAACATTGCTGTTGTAGAGGGTTGCTACTATGAGCCAACTTGTAGAACTTCTGTACGATTGCTGAAACTTTTTTATTTTAGAGGCTTGCTTCACAAAGAGCCGTCATTTCGCCTAGGATGTCGTCGCGTAAGCAAGCCTGAAGAAGGAGCCGAAGAGATTCGAGCGCACTCTTTCTTCAACACTGCTGATGCTAATACAGGTCGAGAGCCCGTTCCGTGGAAGAAAATGGAAGCTGGGAAGGTAAGTCCTATCAATAATTACGTACTTTTTACTAACCCTTTTTACTTTTGATTGTCTTTTTCATCTATGTCTTCAGGTGACGCCGCCATTCTGCCCTGATCCTCGTGCTGTGTATGCTAAGGATGTTCTTGACATCGAGCAATTCAGCACGGTCAAGGGAGTCCGCTTGGATGCTAATGACACGCAATTCTACGGAAAATTCAGCACTGGCTGCGTTAGTATCCCTTGGCAGAACGAGGTACTAATTGTTTCGTTCTTAGGTGTATCATGCTCTTACGGGACAACACTTACGTTACGAGAAAGTTTTTCGCTAAATCATTTCATCGACACTAGCAACAGTTTCATATTCATAACCTTTCAAGAAATAACGTACACCCTTACACGGATGTCTCTGAAATTCTGCTTGAATTGTATCTTCTGCTCACGAAGCACTGTGTAACAAGTTGATAACAATTTTGCAAAGCGTTTGCATGGTTCACTTTTTGAACGGTCTATCTCCTGATGTTGTCCTTGTCAAACTTTTAATGCAGGGAACTGAACAAATAAAGCATCATCTGTATAAATAGTCAAAAAAAAAACACTTTTCGATTAGGGGACAGTGAGCTTTGGGAAGCATAGAAAAACATTGCAAGTAAATTTCCTCATTTTCAAAGGAAGAAAAATTTGACAAATAATGAGCAACGATGAACTTAACAAAAGATGCAAACTCGCTGCATATATGTTGGAATACTTTTTATTAGCTATCCTGCAGTCAGAAGAAGCGTACTTTATTGAAGTCGTGTGGCTGCTGTACCTCATCTTTCGAATGCCTTTTTTGTCAAAGTTTTTTTCAGCTAAAAGGGGGTTAATTTACTGCGAACGTGAGACAGTATGACATCTTTGTTGGACAAAATGTCCGAGAGCTTTTTCGTTTGTTTAAGAGTCTCGTTTTCATATCTTCAGTCGTTGATAGTCGAGTTCATGACAAATCACTCAAAGACTTACTCCTTCCGCTGCGGTAAATAGCTAAACCTTTTTGCGAAGCTCACGAAATATCTCACTTAGAACCTCATTCAGTATGAGAGATCACAATACACCTTGCTACTGCTCACTTCATCGGAGGAACTGTGGATAGATTTCATCGAAGTAAATCTCACTTCAATTTAGATGATCGAAACGGAATGTTTCCAAGAATTGAATGTATTCTACGAGGAAGATGGCAGCTTGGTGCCGAGCCTGCGACCCGATGGTCAGGTGCAGCTCGATAAGAAAAACGGCTCAAGTAGTGCTGGATTTTTCAGCCGTCTGTTCAAACGCAAGGTGGGAAGTTTTCTTGTCTGTAGATTACGTAACATGAACTGGCAATCTAGAGTGTGTTTTTCTGCTGAGCTTACGATCCCACCTTTCTCATTATGATGGTTGCAAATATTGATACTAGGGGTCTATGAGAAATGTGAGATTTGCAGCGGAGAATTTAGGGTAAAAGGTCACCGTCATTGCCTTTTGATAATCATGCTCCAA